CAGGATAAATGTTACTTGTTTTTAGATATCAAACAATGATATTATTGGGGTGTTACACAATAAATGTTACTTGGTACTTATTTGGTCATCACACAATAAATGTTACTTGTTTTACATATCAAACAATGATACTTATTTGGGCATCACACAATAAATGTTACTTGTTTTTACATATCAAACAATGATACTTATTTGGGCATCACACAATAAATGTTACTTGTTTTTATCAAACAATGATATATTTGGGCATCGCACAATAAATGTTACTTGTTTTTACATATCAAACAATGATACTTATTTGGTCATCACACAATAAATGTTACTTGTTTTACATATCAAACAATGATACTTATTTGGGCATCACACAATAAATGTTACTTGTTTTTAGATATCAAACGATACTTATTTGGGCATCACACAATAAATGTTACTTGTTTTACATATCAAGCAATGATACTGTTTTGGGTAACACGATAAATGTTACTTGTTTTTAGATATCAAACAATGATACTTATTGGGGTGTTACACAATAAATGTTACTTGTTTAAGATATCAAACAATGATACTTATTTGGTCATCACACAATAAATGTTACTTGTTTTACATATCAAACAATGATACTGTTTTGGGTTACACAATACATGTTATAAATGTTACTTGTTTTTTAGATATCAAACAATGATACTTATTAGGGTGTTACACAATAAATGTTACTTGTTTAAGATATCAAACAATGATACTTATTTGGTCATCACACAATAAATGTTACAATGATACTGTTTTTGATAAATGTTACTTGTTTTTACATATCAAACAATGATACTTTTTTGGGCATCACACAATAAATGTTACTTGTTTTACATATCAAACAATGATACTGTTTTGGGTAACACGATAAATATTACTTGTTTTTAGATATCAAACAATGATACTTATTGGGGTATTACACAATAAATGTTACTTGTTTAAGATATCAAACAATGATACTTATTTGGGCATCACACAATAAATGTTACTTGTTTTACATATCAAGCAATGATACTGTTTTGGGTAACACGATAAATGTTACTTGTTTAAGATATCAAACAATGATATTATTGGGGTGTTACACAATACATGTTACTTTTTTAAGATATCAAACAATGATACTTATTAGGGTGTTACACAATAAATGTTACTTGTTTAAGATATCAAACAATGATACTTATTTGGGCATCACACAATAAATGTTACTTGTTTTACATATCAAGCAATGATACTGTTTTGGGCATCGCACAATAAATGTTACTTGTTTTTACATATCAAACAATGATACTTATTTGGGCATCACACAATAAATGTTACTTGTTTTACATATCAAACAATGATACTTATTTGGGCATCACACAATAAATGTTACTTGTTTTACATATCAAGCAATGATACTGTTTTGGGTAACACGATAAATGTTACTTGTTTTTAGATATCAAACAATGATATTATTGGGGTGTTACACAATACATGTTACTTTTTTAAGATATCAAACAATGATACTTATTGGGGTGTTACACAATACATGTTACTTGTTTAAGATATCAAACAATGATACTTATTGGGGTGTTACACAATACATGTTACTTGTTTTAGATATCAAACAATGATACTTATTTGGGCATCACACAATAAATGTTACTTGTTTTACATATCAAACAATGATACTTATTTAAGGTGTTACACAATAAATAATATTTGCTTTACATCTCAAACAATGACACATGTGTACCTGAAACTTCAATCATTTCTTAAACTAAAACCGAAACTGATATTTGATTCTCGGAATTGTACATGCATGTAAATATATATTAGTCCATCACGCCTTACCTTTTTGTGTGCTGCGCTTTTGACGAACCTTGAGTACTGAATGGTATTAGTGGTCGCACTTCAAACACAGGTGATGTGATCGAGTCTAACGATACCAGACAATCTAAAAGGCAGTGAAGATAGTTTTATCAGTAACAGGATCTATTGCAGTTTGATGCGAATTTATAATAATCTATATTTTTGCCTTCATATGGAAGAAATAAAAAAGGAAACTTAATCAGATAGAAACACTACGGGGGTTAGAAGATTTTTCCAACTATTTGAGTTAGTTTCCTAATGGACATTCTATTGGATAGTAATAATTGATATTTTGCTGTATGTAGTTGTCATTAAGATTTCTGTAGTACTATGTTTTCAACAAGCTCATCACAACAGCATGTGCTAATTACTTTAATTTAGGTGTCTTAAATTATACTTTTTAAAAAATTTATTTGCGATAATCTATTTATTTCACTGATGTATAACTCTTAGTTACGTTGTAATTCTCGTACATTTTGAAATTATATCAAAGTCTTGATATTCTCGTAAGGTTGTTGAAAAGAGACTCTCGGTAATTGTCACTATTAAAAGTATCGTTATCCTCAATTTCATAATAAAATTAATAAATTTTCCTTAACGCATTGCAAACGTTTCCTTACTCATATTAATGACACTTTACCTTTGCCTGAACAAGAAAGTGAACAATGCATATGTCAGTTTACAGGATTGGCCACATTTATCTTAGGCCTAACAATAATTGTTGTAATCCAGTATACAAAATATAAACACAGTGCAATCAGTGACCATTGATGATATATATATATATATCCACTATTACTTACTATTACTTACAATATACATTAATATAATAGTAATATTCATGAGAGTTTGTTTTTGCATTTTAATAAGTTAGTATCGTACTCCTGGGTATTAAGTATTCAAAATAATTATTCTAATATTGGAGGTTTAGTCATTTTTCGGTTCACCTTATCGATTGTATTTTAAAATCTCATACAACCATCAAAAATTTACTTTGGTGCAAAAAGAACATGCATATTTGAAAATGGCACACAACGAAACCTATATCTTGATTTACAATTATCATAATTCAAACGCACCAATATATCTATTGTCTTTTATTCCTCATTGTAAGCCGGATTTGTATGGTAGAGTAACCGTACATTATTACAAAACACAACTGTAATTGTAATCTAGAGTTCGATCTTACGATTAACGAACTGTAGTGGAGTTTAATAACAACACATACCGGTACTTTTTTCATAATGTATATGTTACAGTTGTGAAAGACATATATACGTGTGTTTGTGAATGTATGATATCGGTTTTGTTATGGGAAGTCCAATACCATAGGGAAATGTAAAAATGACCTTTATACAAGAAATAACATGCGTAATAAGTCAAACTGATTTAGGATAACGTATGATACATTACCTTTCGACTGACTAACTTGAAGTCAGCATATAGTGTGATCTATTTGTGTATGTTTTCTATCTAGAACATTAATAACGCATATGGTTCAATGGTATTCTGGTGTCTTTGTTTCGGTTTCTCGTTTATAAACTAGACTGGCGTCTTGTATGACAAAGCCACGCCAAATTCAAGCTTTTGATTGTGGAACGAACAATTGAGAAGCATTCTGACATGTGTATGATTTAAAACGTAACACTTTTGTAATCGAGCAATTTCAAGCATAATTATGCAATACTTAAAAAAGAAAATGATTTGGTATTCCATGAACGACAAATGCAGATCAAAGTCACGTGTTGATTCTAGATAATATTTAGTCAGTCACTATGTGTTTACAACCGATAAAAAACGTTTTGCGAGGCTTTAATAAGGAGTGTTTTCAGGGATAATTCCAAGCATGGCAAGAAAAGAATAATAGGAAGCAAGGTTGAAAAAAAATGGCCAACTATCAAAATTATTCATAGTGAATCCTTTCCCAAAAACATATCTTATATTCAATCATCTCTGTACCTATATGAATACACAGGCAGTAATTTCTCTCACATGTATATATTCATCAAAATTCCACAATACTAGCACTAAACCTCTTAACCTGAAACTAAATTCATTTGAATTTGCTGACATATGTTCTAGACGCTTTTCTTTCTCGCCTCATAGGTTTTAACATTTAGGCCATTAACATCGATGATCAAGAAGGACGAAACAGCTATATGTTACAGCTGAATCTATTTTGTGGCTCGACTTTATCTATATTGTATTTAAAGGTGTTATTAACATGTGTTTTCTTTGAACACTCTATCTATCTTTTGAGCATCCTTTATCAGGTATATGGGAATTTGGCCAACTATATTCATTTTTTAATAAACTAACATTATAAATAAGGTTGATTGTATTGAATTTGCATGAAAGATACAAATAAACATAACCGCATGTAAATAATATATTGCATTTGTTTATCATAATATACCACCTCTCCTTGTAAGATACATGTATTTGTCGTACTACAAGGCAAGATTTGCATATAGCTCGCTCTTTGGACTAGGGACTTATTGAAAATCTTCAGACTGGGACATATATTGGAACTTCCTTGCTATATCAGACCGTTTTTCACAAATTCACTGCGTATGGCAGAATATCGGAGGTAAATACCAGCGGCTTTGTATTCCAAGGGAGATAACTCTTGCTAAAATTTATATATAGCATAATTAATAGGTAGTCGAGCACCACGTGTCAATAGTTCAAATCTCGCCATTTGCGCTATTTGAATTGATTTCAGTGGACCTTTATATATCATATCTGCGTAATTGTTATATCATAATCAATCAACGTTAATGAAGCAAAACGAAAACTATTTTTAATTCGTGGAAGTCGGATCTCGTGTCCTTAAACAGCTTGTTTCGGGAAATTATCATGGTTTGAGACGTTAGGCAACAAGAATCGAACAGGAAATTTTTCATTGATTTTTTTTAGCTTTTTGGCGTTGAACATTTTAATTATCTCCTTGGTATGTATGTTTTATTTGTGAAAACTATAATCAAAATATGATGTAAATGAAACAGACCATTCAGTGTTTTTCAATCAAAAGTGAAAGTGAACATGGTATTCCAGGAATCCTAAAACTAAACGTCAGTGATTCGTTGGTCGTGACTTCAGCTGTTAATCAGGAAGAAATCATGGATCTAAAACCAAGTGAAATACGTTTTACTCAGAATTCTATCAACAATGTTTTCGACAAAAATTCCAGACACGACTGTCAACATATCGGTGAAACATTGGATTCTTTATTGATGGGACGTTGTGAAATTTCAGACATACCGACAATAACTGTCATCAACCGAAATTCAGCCTGGTACACAGTCGATAACAGGAGACTATGGGTGTTCCAGAAGCTTGAAGAGCTGGGGAAATGTACCGAAATACCCGTAATTAAAGGCTTTTCGATTCCTGCTAAAAAACTCACAACAAATAATGATGGGAGGTCGGTAAGAGTACGTGGCAACGAAGGAGGGTCGTACTGGAGGATAAGGAGTCTGAGAAGTACCTTAACGCCACATAGGGAAAGTAGAACTTTTGGGGACCAGAGCTTGCCTAACTACTATTCCGTGGAACGAACTCCATCGGCGTCTTCATTTAGTGAGAGTTCCATCTACAATGGAGACCAGTATTCGGATTATAGACCCATAAGGAGTTTGTTTGCGCCAGTAAAGTAAGCATATATAAATGAGACTCATTAAATATTCTTCGACTTCAGCAGGTGCCATTGTATTATACCACATGGAACTGTCCAATGTATTTTATACGCCCGTCGAAAGGCGGGACGTATTATGTTTTCACACGGGCGGGCGGGCGGCCGCACAAAGGTTTCCGATCGATAACTTGAATAATTTTTTACAGGTTTATTACCATAAAAGCCAGGTCAAGTTCGATAACCAATTCTTTTGCCCATTATTTACAGAGTTATGGCCCTTGGTACATTTGCAAAATAGGTTTCCCCTCAATAACTTTAGTAATTTTTCATTTATTCTTGAATAGTTTTCGACGGTCGTATATTGTTCCGCCCTGCGGTACTCTTATTTTAACTATGTTGGTAAGTGAAATAGGGGATCAGGCTGTCCTGATAATTGACTTGTCAACTAATGAAGTTAGTTGCTTATGAATGTGGTGAATACAGAAAACTTTGTTTTCATGTTATTGTCGATTGTCTCACAATATCGTAAACGGCTGGAGGCGATTACAATGTATCCATCTAGGATGTTACATGTAATGTAAATTCAAGAGAAGAATTTTATTTTAGTTTTAGTCGGTTTCGTTGATGTTCTCACTTGAGAACGCGAAGAAGCAGAAGATACCTACCATTTTTAGTTCACCTGGTCCGAAGGACCGGTCTGCGCTTGCACGATGTCCGTCGTATGTCAACCTTATAATGAACATCGCTTTTAGTTATGAACAACTGAACAGTTTTTGTCCAAATTTGGTCTGAAGCATTCTTGAGTGTATGGGAAGCAATCTTGTCAAACAAACTTAGCCCTGATTCCCTCTGGCGGGAGGGACAGGGCTCCATAGGTGAAATGTAATAAATCCTTAAAAATTCTAATTCTTCTGTAAGGATGAATGGATAATGCCCAAATTTTGTCTGAGGCATTCTTGGGTGAAGGGGAATCGACTTTGTATATACGTTAGGTCTCGGCCCCCTTGTGATGTAAGGAGCTGGGGCCAATAGGGGAAATAGGGCAAATTGCTTAAAATACTACTTCTCCTTTACAGTTGATTGTCTTTTACCCAAATTTGGTCCTGTAGGACTCATTGCATTTTGCTCAAATTTGGCCTGAATTAATTTTGGGTGAAGGGGAATCAGTGTTGTATACACGGTGTATCCTGGCCTTCTGGGGCGGGAGGGATTGTGACCAATTAGGGAAATGTAAGTTCTTTAAAATCCTCCCGTACAAAGACATTGCCCAAGTTTGGCAGGAAGCAATTTTTATGAATAGTAACGCTGACCCCTGTTTGACCATAAGGAACCTACTTTGGGAACTATTACAGAAACCATTTGTCATATTTGAAATTCTTCGTTAAATGGCTAAATAACTATCTTAGCAAGGTGAGTGATGCATGCCCTTTGTTCCTCCTGTTGAACATCGAGTCTTACTATCCTTGTCCTTTCCAAGAGGTGATATGATTTTATTTCTTTTGTACATATCTTGCTTTCGTTTTTGTCAAGTTTGAGGTAAGGTTCTGTTGACATGTCATATGTTTCTTGTTGTTTTAAATGGAAGTGCGTTACAAAAAACAAGCACCTAACTGATGCATATATATATACCAATTAATAATAGTTTGCACATCATATCTGATGCATTAAAGAGTATGTTTAACCCTTCGTTATGCACACAGCAGCTTTTATATTTTCATGTTATATTTGATATGTTACAGTCGACCATCCACACCAGCTTCAAGTAGCCGACCAAGTACAGCGTCTTTTCCGGCCTTTCTCCAGACAAATACATTTTCCGGTCGCTCATCGGTCGAATTGCTGGACCCAGAAAAAGTACGTTATACCAAAGAAAAAATCAAGGCTCCACCCCGTGGACTTGGTTACCGATCTACTGACCCTATTCTTGTGTACCGTGCTTTTGAGGAGAACTGGACGCTGGACGGTAACCGGCGTCTGTGGTCGTACAAGGAAGCCAGGAAATACGACCCTTTTCTGAAGGTACGAGCTAATGTGAAGGATGACGAGGATGAATTCTTGGAGAAACTGAGGGTTGACCGACCCTGGCTAACTGTATTGGATATTGTACAAATGGGCGAAACGGTAACCATTGAATGAAACGATAAGATCAGCTGATGTCACCACTTCCGTATAACTGTGAAGAAGTGTGCGCTTGAAAGTTGTCTAGATATTTTGTGAGTCATTACCCGTTATCTACGCATGCTATCTTCAGTTTAGAAAAGTGGCACAATATTTGAATTGAATCATCTGCATATTATTGTATGTTGCAATACAATTGTATTTTACCTAGGTTATCAGATAAGATAGAGTTAACACAATATCTGGAGTCACAACTTGGGCTGGCCTTGGACTGCTATGATTAACAGGATCGCAGTCCTGTGGCGTATTTTATGCTCCATCCTTTTGGCTATATTAAAGTTATGATATTGTTTATGCTGTAAATATGGGTGTACAACATGGTAAACATTGTTGTTACCATGTCTGCCATGATATTCGTCATTTCATAAAATGACATTTCAAATACATAGCTCAAGTCGTGACTCAATTTTCGGGATGGAAATCATAACATAAAGTAGTGTACGAGTGTAGTTGAGTCAACCAACTTCTCATTAACAGTTAGCAATACCAGATATAGGTGTTTACAGAAAGATATACAACACACTCAAACTAAAATGTTAAATTCTGAAAATCTCATAGAAAATTAATTGGATATAAATTATATCCTCTTGCAGTTAAAGGTCTTAAGTTAAAAATAACAAGTATGAGCGATAAAAGACTAATGATTTGCGTTACAAAAAGTACGACCTTCTCTTCGTAAATTATGATGACGGGACCACGACGCATCTACACCATCATGATGTTTATAGATAATAACCAAGCGTCAGCATTTTCCACATGTTAATTATACCACATCCTCTTACTCTACTTCAAAGTACGATATTTATTCCAAAAGTTCTACTCCAATGACAACCTTTATCGACTGTCATACTTCAGCTTCTTATCACGTGATCGATTATCAACGATTGATTAACAAACCGTAACGATTGGTCAGTTTTTTTAAGTATCAAAGCTTGAATATCAAAGCTGACAATGCAAGTTAAAAAGAATGCTGTTTGAGGTTTAAAAAAAAAAATTTCGTTTCCCAAATGCTTCACAGATTCCCCCTATGATAACGAGATCTTCCGGTCAGCGTATCTAAGGCAGTGGTTGACATTTTAGTCCAAGCCTTGCTTGGAAACGAGAACAGACTTCCCAGAGTATAGAAGGCTTACAACTTGTCAAACTGGTTATCATTTCCACATTAACCGCTCAAGGTGAAAATCACCTGTATATTATAATAACATGTACTCGTGACTCTAAAAGTGTGCACTCACCTGGGGACCTTGAAGTTGCCTGTAGATGTACAGTTCTTCTCAGCTATTCAAAAATAATTAAAAAAAAAAAACATCCCGTCACATGCATTTACTCTGTCGCTGAAGAACTTGAAAAAATGCTTTATACTCAATCTTGATCGTGTAAATGCTTGACTAGTAAAACACGTGGTAAGTGGTGACCTGTCGTAGATTGTGTAAAATTTAACCAATAAACATTTTTGAAGAGGCCTTTTATTCTATGGGAGGCGCGCGCACGTTTCCAAGCGACACTTTGACTGAAAAAGCTGCCACTTCCTTAGATACAATGACCTGAAGATATCGTTAGCTTCTGGGAGGGAGATCTCGGAAGCATTTTATTATTTATCACAACATGGAAACTTAGTCAGTCTTAAAAGTGATAACGGTTATCGCATCGAAAACACAGATGTTGTAATTTTGTATGTTTGAGTGTTAGCAACTTTTTTTTTTTTTTTTTTTTGCTTGTGCCATCTATTTCATGTGACATAAGTAAACCTTACATTGTGATATAAATTGTTGGTGTGTTTTGACTCTGTCCTATATGAGTAAAGCAAAGCATCGATTTATACTAATCATAATAATTTGTAAATTTGTTTGTTTGTTTTGTTTTTCAAACAATATTTGTATTTCCAAAGCTAACCAAACGTTATAAAAGATAACGTAATTGTAAAACTTTTTACAAATAGTCATCGGAAGCATCTTGTTTTATATACTTTATATCACAACATGGAAAGTCAGCTTTATCATTGATAACTGTTAACTCATCAAAAACACAGATGTTGTAATTTTATAAATGACGTTGTCTGTTCATTTGTTTTTCAATTTGAGTGTTAAGTAGGGGCTTTTTGCTTGTGTCATATATCTTGTTGTTTTTATCGATTTTATATATTTTTTTTAATAAACCTTACATTGTATATATCAATTTCTGGGATCTTGTGAGTTTCTTTCCTATTTATGAGTATAGCAAAGTATCATTTTATACTTGTCGTCACAAATAATCTTTTGTAAGTTTGCTTTCTTTCTTTTTTTTTTTTTTTCTTTTTTTGTTTTTTTGTTTTTGTTTGTTTTGTTTTGTTTTTGTGGGATGGGGGAGGGGGGTTACAATATTTGTATTTCCGTCATTTGCACGTGACAGTACATTACCATACACATACAACGAGGACCAGAAACAAGTTAAAAACTTATATGAATTTCTCCCCACTATTACAGGTACGGCAACTTATATCGTTATTTAAACACATGATTGATGAGATGACAAAAAACATTTAAGCAATGCAAATACGACAGTATACTGAATCTGATAGTAATATAACACATTTACAGTGAAGTTGTACACAGTTTGGGGACTATATAGATGAAGAACTAGGAAATGACGATAGAGTTATTTATATACATTAGGAAACACATAGAAATGTAAAAGTTTTATTCCAGCTTCGTAAAGAAAAAATAACTGCGGCATACAGTCATTATTAGACTCTATTTCTGTTGACAATAAAGTTGTAAACGGAAACAAAGCTTTCTGAATTTTCCCCCATCATTTAATTTACGATCGTGAAATAAAAGAACATCTACGTTTTCCTGTATTGTTTATTTCAAAACTATATCTGATAGTAAAAATTTACAATTATAATTATAACAAGTAAGTAATACAAAGAAACGTTGTCCTTATTCAGAAATCCATAATCACTGCGAGGTGATTTGTTTAGATTTTTTTTTTTTAAATAAATACTGATTTTTTTCCCCTAAGGTTCATTAATTTTATTATCCCGCCAAGCAAAATGAGATCATTTTTAAAATACTGATTTAGAGAGCTGCATTTGAGTCTAGCTTGGATTATTTAACCTTAATGATTTCCAGTATTGAATTAGCTTATTGCGTGTCTGATATTGTCGTCTTCATATATGTGTGGGGCAATTTATTCCAATGACAAATCAAGGAAGGCAAAAACGGATTTAATACATAAGTTTGTTTTTATTTGAACAGTTTGACGTTAGTCTGATTTTCCTGTATTGAATGAATATCGGAAATTCTTTGGTCTGGAGAAACTAGATATTTCGGAGATATTCGTTGACCGTTTTATGATACTGTATAAATTCCTGTTTTCGGACGGTTTGCCACATTATTTTATTTAGCGCCTCTGTATAGAAATTTAACATTAACTACCCTGGTATCCCCGAGTCGTAACGATTTTTGCTGTCTCTAGTTGAAAACTGTTTTTCCGTTTCTCTCGTCGATAATTAATATTGTCCCAGACTAATTCGTCATCTTCCAGAATTTGGCTGATGTTGCCAACTTCCTAGACGAATAGGTGAACATTAGACTGGAAAGAATATGTCTATACCCAAATTATATTTCAGCAATTAATAATACGTAAATCAAAATGCAACAGACAATCGGTTCGCTGGATCAGAATGTGTTCTGTTCTAGAGTTAATCAAGTCTTAAATGAATATTTTTCGCAAGAGTTACCTACCTTGCCGCATAAGTCGATGCAGGAATTGAGAAGGCCAAACACTAATTTGTAACAATGTATTTCAACATTAATATCTTGCGTAATTACTAAAACGTTATCATTTATATTGTTCAGCTTCCACATTTCGTTATTTAACTAAAACGTCAATACAAAGCTCTTTATCTTTTCATATATGATAATCGTCGTAATTTCTAAGCTGTTGAATCGCGTGAACAAGTCAAAATTAATACAAACGTGCCACGATAAGGAGGCATTAAGAATTAAAAAAAAACTCCACTTATTAAAGTTTCGGAAGCACATGTGAGATATCTATCTCGCAGCTGACATTTCTAGAAACAAATATAATCCCTATGCCTATAGTTTCATTGAATTGACTCCGAATAAGCTTCAATAATGTCGGTGTCTCAAAAACGTCATCGATGAAAACAAAATGTTCGGGTACAGAAAGCGCAGTTACGATAGCATAATCAAGAAAAATATAGCTTACGTTAATTTAAATCAGAATGTTTTCTCATTAACGTAATCAGGTTCTTTGTACATGTGACATACTCAAATGTGGGACCTTCTTAATATTACTGAAAAGTCAAGCCATCCTTATTTGAATTGAACAATAAAAACAAGAGAACATTGATAAATTGGTAGTTCTGTTTTAATATTCAATATTTAATATACATACAACGAGTTATAACAATAACATACCTACAAACATAGTACTAACAATTCAATAATTATACGACCAATAAAAAAGTATGTACATTGAAATATCGCGAGGTTTTGCTAGTTACCTCCCTTGCCATTTGTTAAAAAATCGACGATATTTTCTCTTCATATTAAAGCACAGCAGACAGCACGATTTTCATATAAAAATCATGCCACAATGCTATCGCCGTACCTGGCTCTTGAAATTTGTCAGAATCGTTGACAATACCAGTTTAACAAGGTGATCAATTTTCATTTGTTGGTTTATTGAAATTAATTATAGACCCGCGAATTCAAAGTTAAATATACAAGTCCCATGCAAGTTTGTTTGGTAAATGAATCTTAAATATTTACATCTTTTCGATGAAGAAAAAATTCTTTCGCTCACTCAACCAATCTCTTTTTTATCCTCTCTCGTTCAATCTTGCTTTCTATCCTCAGTGTCCATTCTGCCATCCCGGAAAACAGAGAAGGCGTTGTGGCCGTTGTGTCAATAAATCACCTATGTTGAGCGATTAGGGATTTAGCGGGAACATTCAAGTCATCGTTGACACATGCTTGACCATGACATAGTGCCGGACCTTACGTATATACGATACTGACCCTTGCACAAAAAAAAAAAAAAAAAACCATAACAGATACCCGTATGTCACTTGGATAATGTTCATGGCTTGAAAAAAAAAACATCACGGATATTCATATGTTGCTTCAGTAATGTCCCGCGCTCAACAAAACACCACGGATACCAGCTTGTTACTTGGATAATGTCCCTTGCTATGACGGACACTCGAATGTCCATTGACAAAAATATTTCATCACAATACGGATACCCGTAAGACCTCCTTTGTATAAAATATATCGGGTAGTCTTATGCTTCCTGGACTAGGTCCCAAACTCTTATTGACATCAAGGATATCCGTATGACATCGTTGACACTAGATTTTCCAAGTTACCAATGTCAATAACGTCTTTTCTTTTTTTTTTTTTTACAACAACAAACAACTTGGAGAATTAATAATATTCCCTTAAAAGGTAAAAGAGCATTTGTTTTGATGGCAAAGAAGTTAAGTATACATTTAATATTACACAATGACCAGTTTTCGTGTCTGACATGCCGCTGGATAGCTCGTTTGGGACCTTCTATGTAAACAACTTGTTATATCAGACTAACAGACGAATCGTACAGATATGAACCATATGATACGTCAAGGGTTCGCTTGCACCTCATACGGAACTTTATGACTGAATATTTCAGTTCTTAAACAGCAAATTTAACTTTTAACTTGGATCCTTTCATTTTCTTTTCGTACACTTTGTCGAACTCATCGCTCTGTGATACCGTGAAATGATTCCTCCAGTCTCCCACCACACCTGTAACGAAAAGGACACATCAGGCTTACATATCGACCAGACCTATTGTTACTGTAATGACTTCATTGCAGTATTTGATGTTATTTGTAGAGAAATGTCATGTTTTGCATAATTTGACGGGAAAATGTCATTTGTTACGTCGTTTGTAAGGGTATGTCTTTTTGTTGCTTGTAAACACATGTCTGGTTTTAAAGAGACCTGTCATGATTTGTGTCGTTTGAAGATTTAAGAGACATGCTATTTTTGTCGATTGGGCATGTAACGTTTACTCGCCTATATAGGCATGTAAAATAGTGTGATGTCACAAGAAACAAGTGATATATATTGTCGTGTTTTTGACGAGTTTTGTATGAAGTCATTTCAGGGCCATGTTTGTTTACTGAGAAAGGACATTGTTCTCACCTTTGCGGAAGAAGACGTCTGTACCGTCCCTGCTGATAGATCTGTATATATGTCCACATTTCTCTAACTTCTGCGTCTTAAAGTTCTGGAACTGGACTTGCGATGCTATCGCAGAAACTGTTTCTGAATTTGTGGAGATTTCCAAAAATTTGGCAATGCGTGTTATCTCCTTCTTACAGTCCTGTCAACACAAAAAGGTACATTATTACGTAAAATGCCATTACAGGGATGTACAGCACAAGAATAGAGACACAAAATTAAAGCAGGTGTTTATTTTGGAGTTGATGGATGAGAACCTCTACTCGTTATACCACCAGTAAATATGTGGTAATCCAACTGTACGTGTTAATGAGACACATAATCAGTCGTTTACCGTATTACGCTCGTTGCCAATTGGAACCAACGACATTAAAATCTCATGATCTACCAACAGTGAAAAATGCTCTCACGGCCATTGCAATATCTCAAGACGGAGACGAATTTATTAGCTTTACCAGTTCACAAAGATGTCGTAAAATCGACAGAAATCACTAAAGAAAATCCCGTGAAATAGTCCTGATCAGTTATACTTCGTTAAGACAAATATACGTGGGAAAAGGCAAGTCTTATATATAGCAATCAAATTTGTAAATCTATATCTATGGTATTCTTATTTCTAAAAATAGTACGGAAATCTTATTTGGGAGAGCTGAAGTTGTTGAATACATCCTGACATTTACAAATTTGTATTACGGAATGACGTGTTCTATGATTTGTGTCATATATAAGGCTTTCTTTTCTCGTTGTTATATATATGTTAATCCTCCATAGCGATTCTTTGCTATTTTGGTTTCTAGACGTATTTGTTTTCTCCAAATTTTTTTCGGTGTTGAAAGACGATATATAAATCAGTCTATCAGTTCTTACATATACTCAACGTCGTATATACATTTGTACTGTTGGGACTGTCGTTTTGAATGCAGAGGGAATCACAAGAAAAGAAATCATGTATCCTGTTGCTTTGGTTTGAAGCAATATACAATTTATGACGAACTGTAGCCATCAGCAAGAAAGTGCATACTTTCACATTTTTTTCTTTTTGCAATCAACACGATATTACAAAGAACCTCAAAAAATACAAGATATACGGTAATATTGAAGAAACTTTAAACAATGCATTTATTTATGCATTTATTTATTTATTTATTTATTTGTCTATTTTTGCGTTGGATATTTGCAATTTTTTCACATTATACACACGTATTGTTTTAAACCGTTCGTCAGGTGTTCATCAGCAAGAACAATATGATATGACTTTATTATGGAAAGTGCCAAGTGACCTTATTCTCACGTCCTTTGCTACCGAAAAGGTCAGTTAAATAGACATTCATATTCCAGTACACAGAACAATGTCAAAGCCGTGTTGACATCACATGACAAGAGAAGAAACGATTTTAAAAAAAAAAAAAAAAAAGATCTACAAAAGTGACAAATAATACGAAAGAAAGGAAATTACCTTGTGTATGTCTTCGTATGTAACGAACAGTATAGGGTATTTACTGTTCTCTCTTCGGAAGTCTTCCCAGTCACGCACATGGTCATACCAAGAACCATAACCCACTACAAGAAAAACCAGTTTATCATTGCATCAGTGGCTATATATACACTAGACAAAAAGAGGAAGGTCCCCACACTGCTTTATTTTGTTTGTTGTTCCTTTTATAAACCAACACTGTATAAATAAAATAATTGTTCGATTCGGAAAAAACTTCTGTCATTGTTAACTGCAAAACTTTCAGTAGGTTTTATTCGACGGTACAGGACGTTGGGGTCAATTTCGAAAGTTCCGCTGGCGCGAATGGTTCGTTATCCTGCTGAAAATGGCACCAACACCATGGCGACTGAAGAATGGTATAAGCATGGGTCTTAATATTCCTTCCCCATATCGAAAAATTGCTATTGACAACACGTCTGGTACGATTCCCCCCACAAATACTATCCCAAACATTATGTTAGCAAAACGTTCCTCTCCTCCCTCATGCGCCTTGCGTCACCGTGTCTCTGACAAAAACGGAACGTTGTGCTCCATTTTCGTATGGCAGGGCCTAACGACGATGAACACGGGTCAAGTTAGAGTCATCATTATGCTGACTTCGCATCAAAATGGGTCCCGTCTATGTACGCCGCGCTTTCAATTGATAGGTTTTCAACCTGTTGCGGACTGTTTGAACAAACACTGACGCCCAAGCATTATTTTTGTCTTAGAGCGAACAAGGATCGATTGCGCAAGTGAATTAATCATATACGAGAGTCATCGCTAGTGGAAATTTTGTGTGGTCGGCCCCTTCAAGGTCACATGTAACCCAGGTTTAATTCAAACGACTCATCAACAAGGACATTTTCTGAACATTGCGACCAAATTGTTGTGCCGGTCGAAGCCGAGAATCTCTTGTCTGGATCATCCCTACATTTCTTTCCCTTTGTATTAGTGGATATTTAGCGAGACTCTGTGAATTCTAAGTCGTGGGAATTTACGGAACAGGCGTCAGATTGATTTTCATGAAAGTCAAGCGAAGATACAGTTTAGTCGCAGAAAATCTCGTGGGCCTCTTTCATTGATACAGAGTTTCACGTAGTTAGGATTTTATATTCTGAAATGTAAGCTATTGCCATGTTCTTGTATTGCTAAAAAAATCATTCTTTTAAATAGTGCAACAATTGAAATAAGATTACTATTCTTAAACATCGGATAACACATTCCTTAAAAATTTATTTCTTTAAAGTTACAATACAAATCTGTTTGATGTTCCAGTGCCACCATCAAATTCTTACACTTTATATTAGATCAGAGTAACGGGGATATACTTACATTTTCCGTGGTAGAAGAGGTCGAGGTAATCGTCCCAAGATCCACTGTACACGTCCTTCAATTTCACCATGAAGTTGTACATGGAAACAGCGATGTCTTTCGGGTTTCGCATCACGTATATTATCTTGCCTTTGTTCTCCAGGAAATGTTGAGGAAGACAACGGAACCGCATATGTGATTGTAAAGTCCGAGGCGAAGGCATGGCATCGATATCCTGAGTCCGGTAAATTTCAATGTTTGGAAATACCATTTCTGTAATTTCCTTTTTGTTTTGTCTGAGCATTGAGACGATCTCCCATACCCAGTTTGTTCCTATAAAATAAGTGATTTACTGGTTCATATATACTCTGTATACTATCAATCTGCCATATTTTTTGTATTCAATTAGTATGATATAGTCTACAGCTATTTTTATGTCATTGTTCTATACAAATAAAACCGATATTGTGTTTTCCCGCTATTTCAGAAATGCTTACATTGGACTTACACTTAACGGTGATTTCTTAATTAAGGAGAAATACGACAAAATTATTTTTACTTAAATTTAATGACAATCGGAATACCGTGGTATAATGAGAATATATCTTTATTGTATTTTTTGCCCATGTGCTTTTACCTATATATATGTATATAGCAGAGTAAGTATACTTACCCGATTTTGGATAGGAGCAGACAAACACGTCATCCTTTCGTGTTTCCCATTTCTTTAGAGATGGTAAGTGTTCAGAAGGGCTACCGTTAATAGCCAGTGGTAAGTAACCTCCGTCGTAGTCCCAGAGTTTGCTCTTACAACCACTTCTATCGGATACTTCAACTACGGACATGGTATCAGGATAGTTGGAGTTGGGTAACCTGGAAAGTAATAGTTCATTTATATAATATATATGTAAAATCATCTTATTTTACAACAATCATGGAACAAACTTTAAGCGTATATCATCACTCTCGTTGGCCCGGATGACAGGTGATCTCATACTTTTTCTCGCCCATTCCGGGAATATGATATATAACTGGTATTAAGGAAGCGTTCTTAATAATATGAATATGGTGTCTGTCTGAGACGTATTCAGAGCAGTTAAATAGGTACACTTTTCTTTGTTTTCATTCTTGTTTTTGATTCTGATCCAGGTCAATAAAACAGAATTTTAGGTTTGTAATTGACTGTTAGATATAGTAATGCCAGCTAATCTTTTTAATCATTACATTATATATGTACCTGATGTTAAGATGTGTTTCTGAAATTTGATTACGGCGTAGAGAAATTGACTCACTGTATTATTTCTGGATACATAATCTGCATTGATTGATGGTATTTCATAATTACTCTCAGGGATTATAATGATACGATAGTGCTTAACTACGATTTCTTAATAAAGGTATGTGCAGCTTTAGAAAGATTTCGTTTATCTTAAACGTTCACAATGAAAGACGCTAATGAGAAGCAAGAAGGATATCAACTTTATTTACTCACAATAATAAGGAATTCCTTATACATTTTGTCTCCCGGAAATAACTTATTTTGATTCGTGGAGGATGCTTTATCAGGCATTCTAAACTGACATTGTTCGTAAAACTTTGTATATGTTTGTACACATTTCGCTGTAAAACTGTCTACTCTGAGTGATGTTAGTTTCGCTTTTCTATTTTGTTTTGAATATCTTACTTTATGATTAACTCGGCGAATTGCTTTCGCACTACGGGAAGACAAAGACGTCTTCTTAAAAGCAGCATTAATTTCATGAACGTTTTGGTCTGCAATTTGAAGATGAAAAAATGTTTTACATGCGTAGCTTTCAGCTTGCAGTCAACGAAAATAATGTACCGTTGAACTTTTGTCCAAGATAGTTTTATGTCTATAAAAGGCATCCTTTTTCTGCAGTGTTGTTGTGTCTGTGTTTCGATTGATATGTATCTTTCTGTGTACTCTACCATACCGTCGCTATAAGTCATACTTAAAAAGCTTCCTTATAATACTCACAGTATAGTAAATATATACCATATCGTATAATGCTAAAATTTAAATTAAAAGTGAAATTAAATATAAATTTGAATCGTCTCTTGTTGGCCGCCATTTTACTTCATACAACAAATTCTAGCGACGGAATCCTATTTTGCGCCGACTTATTGCTTCATTTGGCTTTGACAGGAGATCGATAATACTTCACTCTTAATGGTAAAACTCACCAATATCTTAAATCAGTATTAAGCTACAATGCAAAAGGAATGAATTTTGGTACAATATGAGGCCGTAACACGATACATATTAATTACAGTAAAACAACACCCAATATATACCTACGCACACGCGTATTGTTTTTTCAATTGAATCTGTTTCCGCGATATTATCTCCAAATTAATTTGTAACTGCGAAAGCATCCGATTACAGTGGCAATGTTGGGGTTAGATACGACTACACAGAATAACTTCAATATACATACATCAGAGGTTCTGTATGTTTTGCTTGCTGCGGCTAAACGTAGGATAAAGACTGTGTAACCAAATGATTGTGACATTCATAAGGCATACACGGCTGACTTCGAGTCACTTTGTTATTTAAAGATGGTGTCAAATGATGGATCCTCAGGATGCAATCTCACCGTGGCAAGACACACCACTTTTTACATATTGCTGACCAATAATTAACAGTTTATTTGTGTAAGTCACATGTTAGGCTAAGCGACGATCTTTCTATTCCTATAGCCTTCCTACTTCTGTGAACGTTGAACATCAGGACCAAAAGTGAGGTAGTTTCAAGCAATTGGGACGAAATAAGGACCTTGAAAGGAGAAAAATATCAAAATCCTAAGGTGGTCAGCCTCATACATTCTGGGCTGCCATAATATGACCAGGTAAAAACTCGGATAGATAAAACAAAAACAGTTTTCTTAAGAATCTAAAATCGTAACGGGACGCTATATTCTCATCACCAGAGAGGGCAAGCATATCACTTAATATTTTCAAACAGTATGATCATGAAGCAGAACGTAGAGTGCATATTGCTTCCAGTACGGTAGGCATATTGCAGTGTATGAAATATATTTTGTGGCATTTTCTTCTCATTTTATATTGATAACAACTGTAATACTATCATATACATACTTACAGAGGTAAACACGTGTTATAAATACATAATGTATATACAGAAATATTGGAAATAGATTCCCCACTAATAATTTGGCAAGCAGCTAAAATTTTCAGAGTAAATCCGAGTATCTTAAACACATGCCACACCCCATATGGCAAACAAGAGGTCATTCCAGACCTAAGACAGGTGCCATATGGTACATATTTCTGGTGATTGCACGTGATAAACTGTACTTGTATTCAGGAAACTGACGGAGGGTCTGAGGCACAGAAACAAATGAAAACCAAACGTTGGCAAGTCCCCTTTGAAAAGCATATATACAGATCTAGGAAAAAATACTAATGAAAACATTCTGCAGGGAGAAACGGAATGTTGAAAGGAGATTATCATCATACAGATGTATGGGGAACAAGTAAGGTCGGGAGAAACAATAAATGGTATTGCACCTGAGTGAGGTCGCTGCTCCACACTGTTATGATTTATGTTTATAATACATAGGGCATAAGAGGTTCGCCAAGTCTTACAACGCTAACATCAGAACTCATTACCATAAACTAGTTTCAGCTCAAGGTCGTGCCTCCCTCCGCCATTACTGCAATACTGACAGGAAGCACATGTCTTAATGTGCGATCCGATTTTATCACCAAACCTAGTTTACCGCAGTTAAGTAAAACAGTCATAGTTTTTTAGTGTTAAAACATAGTTGGTGCAAAACCATGGATACGTTTTTGCCATGATATGAGATATACCATGAACGTCCAGGTATTCTTAAAAGCTGTGCTACCGTTTTCATATTACGAGGCATGACACCAAAGGCAGAACCATTCTAAGTCGTGTGTAGAAGACATGTGTTGCATGTTTTTATTTTTTAAAATTTAATAAGTATATCAAGTCATATTGCTATCGGTAAATACTGCTAATATTTATGATTAAAGTTGAAGAGGTTGAATCGGTACTTATGCAATGAGGCACTCGAGTATATCATTATCGATGAGAGAGAAGCCGGAGCAAAACCTAATTATTTTAATGAGGTAAGTAAGTGAATGAATATGCCATTTACAATCAAATTTGCTTCGTGCATTTTTAAAAAATATATTATTTATCTTAATTTTAATAAGTTCTGCTAATTGGTCATTAACCATACTTGAATAACCACAACTGAAAAAATGGAATACAAGCTTGCATTATGATTAGTAAGTATACAACAAATTTATAAAAAATTGAATTTCAAACTTAGAGTCATACTTTGCTGAAACGACCTTAACACACTTTTTTTCAATATGACAATAAAACAGATCAAAAATAAACACGAAGGTGATATTTAGAACAAAAAACAATTAAATCCATATTTCAATTCATCTCATCCCAAGTATTCTGCATGAAATCGTCAACTGTTCTGATAACTCGGTTAGATTCTTTCCTTGACCGAACAAGCAATCTTCTCGCGGAACATTCTTTCAAACGTCTTTTCTTTTCATGAACACCAGTAAGGCATCTCACTTCCATCATGTATAAACAGACAAAGGTATCAACCATACTAAAATGATAGCTGAACTCGCCAACTTAATTAAAAGGAATCGTGAGTATCTAGGTTGTTTGTTGCAGTTGGTTCGGAACCTCTAAATCGATCCATGATATTATCTGATCTTAGAAATACATTTTTGACAGGTATTACCACTAGTAAGCTACTGGAGCAGCCACCCTTTACTTCCTGTCCATGATAACCAGATATTTTTCTCGTAAGGGATTTTTTTGACATAACCAACCTGTTGTGCGTAAGTAGATTACCACACGTGTTCTCTCTCTCTCTCTCTCTCTCTCTCTCTCTCTCTCTCTCTCTCTCTCTCTCTCTCTCTCTCTCTATATATATATATATATATATATATACACACCAGTATTAACAGCTTCATATATCAGGTGTACTGTAGTGGATTATTGGTCCCAATTGCCATTATGTAACAATGTATATGATAACTGAAATAATTTGATTTTCATCAGGTGTTTTCATATAGGTTTCTTCTAAAGGTAGGACCTCGACCCGCACGAAGAGACAGGTGTTCCTGGCAGTGGCCCTAATATCAATAGGACTGAAATATAAAGTCGCTAAGTTTCTATTGAGCTATCTGTACTAAAGGTTAAACCCATTTTAAACTCTTTGCACGTAAGGTTAAATGGCAATAGTAAAGAGTTAAGCCGTTCGCCATGTCTTTTGTGGACAAAATGCCCCTGTAAAACGGTATTATTATAACAATCCTTTTCTGCATAAAGAGGTGTAAACACCATCAGAGGTGTAAACATTTAATATACGAGGATATTTCAAAACAACATCGACATTTACACGATACGAAGAGGGCATACATAAAAAGCAAAGAAAAAAAAACATCAAATGAATGAATTATGTTTAAATGATACTTCGATGGCAATTGGTTAACCTGCTGACTTGGACATATGTCTACAGCGGGTGAAAATTCCGTCAATGTAAGGCACAGAGTAGATTGCTACCAGTGTCTCGTAAATTAGATATTTCCATCAAAACATAAATGAAAAATCATGAATGTGATGAATAACAATGTCGTTCCTATGGAAATTAAGTGCTGACGTCACGAAAAGTTCCCGTAGTGCATTCATTCTATAGTTATTCAGATTACAACAACTCTGCTAAAATTTCATAAAATCCGAACTTCGTTCAGTTAATATTTTAGGATGTTAACTCATTAGATATGCTATCAACATCAAATGATGTATTAACATATGAATAGCAGGTTTATAAAGCAAAATGCTACGTTGATCTTACCTGTGACGGCAGAGTATCTGGGCAGCTTATAAGTTTGAGAGTAATGATTCGGGGTTTTATAGTAATCGGAGGCACTCTCAGCCAACATTAATTTAGTACTCAAACAGTTATAAGTCAACAAATTTTAGTGACGAAATCAACAATTAACCCTTTGATCTTAGTAGGTAATTATAACATGAAATGAAAGAAAGGTTAAAAATGATATTAGAGACGGAATTATAGAATGTTTATTTGACTGCGATTGTTATAAATCCAATGAAATTACATTTTTTTCATTTATTTTCTCGGTATCAGATAGCAGGGATCGTTCCTCTGCGTCTCATATATTAACACATAATATCACTAAAGTGGCAACCTAATTCAGTTAAATGCCGTATCCACTGCTATCAGTATCTGGTAATGTCCCTAGCTGCTGCATCCTTCGGATAAGTACACAAGGGCGCCCATATCGGGCTAGGGGCGCAATAAACCTTCTAACGTCACGTGTCACGTTTACTTACTGGATATATCTCGGTATGTATATATGTATATGATACTGCAGGTTGTGTATAGACACCTCGGCTTGCACAAATGGCCTTTTCAGTTCGTTATCACATAGACTCCAGTACTAGGTCGATACAAAAACACGTAACAGACAGCACTTTGTTGATATATACAGCTTTGCAGATATAACAGGTATCAGTTTAGATTAAAACTATATTTATATAGTCTGGCTAAAATGAAGGACATGTGCATTATTAGGCCAAGTGAGAGATAGCCTCTCAATACGTATACAGGATGTAATAGAAAGATAAACATTCAATTAGCAAACAAATATGTCAATTCATTCATTCTTTTTTTTTCATTTTTTTTTCTGAATTGATCATGTAGCTTATGATATTGCTATTACGATCTCGCTTGGAGATCAAAATACTTGATGAATTATTCATCGTTCTTAATATATAGAGTTTTTTTTAAAATGTACAAAAGATATATAAGATAACTATGCAAGATTTTTGTATGCAATATTGATGTCGATTTCAGAATGCGAATAAATAAAGTGCGCGACATTGTATTAACTAAATCAATCAATATTTTGTAACAGAATAGCGCGGTAATGAAATGAAATTTGCACTAAACTTTGTACTTACATTCTTCAACATTCATAAAAGAAATATGCAAAAATTATACAAAGAAAAAAAACATTAAGTTTTCCTCAATGAAAAAAATATAACTTTTAACCTTAATTTGGAAAACCATTTCTTTCATGTTTATTGAAGTACTTATTTCTCGAGTAATACAAATGACCAGGACGCGGTATTTTATGAATGTGCACTCTGACTTACCTGTGAGATGCCGTGAAGTCTCTGTAGGTAAGGCTAGAGTCCGTCCTGTTGCTGTCGAGTTGTCACAGTCAGTGGTCAGTAGTCGTCACCACATCAGTTTTATAGCCCTGACTTACTCTAACACCTGGTTTAGGGTGTACTCGACACTAGCTTCTCTAATTGATATTCCTATGAATATTTCCTACATAACCCCTATAGTTAAACGACTTGGTAAACTCCCGGATAATGCACCGAATGACCCCTTCGCCTTCAATCATATTGGAGAATTCTACGTACGCCAGTGGCGTGCTGATCACACGCCAGTTTGTCATTCACAGGCGAGGCCGCCGTTGAGTGCCCACCCCTGGTACTCATAAGCCAATGAGATTGATGCAAGGCAGGGCCACTGTATCACTGGTTCAGGGCCATCAGTGCATGTGTAATTTGGCCATTTGTCATTAAAATTGATTTATTATTATTACATGCATCAAGCTCAAGTATGAATGGGGATACATTAGTAATGAAAACGACCAGTATATATGTTTCATGTTTTAATTATTTGTACCACAGTCGTAAGTATGTAGTATATATTACAATACGTAATCATTTAAAAAAAAAACAAATTGCAATCGGAACATTTAAGCTAAAGCTTAAAAACATGTCAACGTGCGAGTCTAAAATCTATTCATGAATATAAAAAAAGATATAAGATTGCTGGCCTACCAAATGTAACTAAATTCCTAACACAACAGCGCTCTCACTTGTTCAGGCCTGTGATAACAAGAAAGGCTATGATTGTCCTTTTGTCATATTATGAGATGATTATAATAGCACAATTCATTCTTGGTTCGTTCCTTGATCGCACTTTTCCCACAAAGTAGCAAAGCACTACTGAAAGCATATCACGACATTTTACAAAGAGTAACAAATTAATATCGGATATATAGAACTATTTTACGGGCAATGATTAGTGCTACTGTAAATTACCCGGTCACGATATCTCGTCCTCGACCGCCGTCGGAGATTATACTCTACAACTAACATGCAGAACTGATTAGAAACATGGTTACATGTTACTCTAGCAATATGCAGATCAAACGAATTTCATGCAAATGAAATAACGCAGACAACATCGGACAAATTTCCTATGACACTCAATATTCTATTGCGGTATCCGTCAAATAAGGTCAACAACTCTTCAGATGTCAACAATTTGGAATCAGGGTTGATTTGGCCTCGAGAATATATATGGACTTCCTGTCTGTGATAATAGTCCGTCGTTAGAACATACTATATATACTTGCACTAATGAGACCAGTCACCTCCAGTTAAGTGTATAGTGCGTCTAATTACAGTTCGTTGGTTCGAAAATACCTTAAATACGATAGAGGCGTTATCTGGCAATAGTAGGTTTTAGAACCGTGTGTAAACGGAGACGCCTTAGTTACTTTAATAGTAGTGTCTATGTGTTGTTTTACCCTACTGTTGATAGAAGTACATCCTTTGATTGAGGCGTGTAACTGGCCCGATCAGCGACATGAACCCCGCACATAACCCTTGGTAAATGCTATTACAGCTAATCGTACGAAAAAATTGAGAATGTTATTCTTAAACATAAATGATGTGTATTCGATATATATCATGCAACTTTCAACAGTATCATATTTAGCATTGGCATCTGTCGATGGTGAAATCTAACGTTATAATATTGTAAATGTGGATATGGTTTGTTTCTCTCTTTGTTCGGTGATTTTCAGTTCCGTTCATGCCGTTTGCATCATTCCGTGACATTTTTCAGAAAGCCCCGCGTAGTTTACAGCACTTGAAGTGTATACAAGTCATTGCGGTCAGTAGTCGACGGAGGTTCAAACCGCAACCGAAAGGTCAAGCCTCAGTTTAGCGGTTAAGTACTGGTATGTAGATAATCCCAATGTAAATAAACAATATCACATATCTAAACATACAAACTGTTCTGGGGATTTTTTCTTGACAACTGTCAATGCTTTGAGTACATCGTTAGCCTTGGCAGCTGGTTGTATTAGGCTTTCTCACCAAAAACCCATGGTTTCTGAATAACCGTGATGAATTTTAAGGACGTTGCTGCAGAGATAAAAAATATCTTTTTCTAGAAAATGAACCGATGGGAGTATACGTGTAAACTTAATTTATCACCCGTGAATAAAATAAGATAAAAAAAATGCAATAAACCTTTGAAAAGCACAAGAAGAACAATGTTTCAATGTGATGAGGCAACCTTTATAAGAATGCTTCTGACTTAATTTCAAAATTCCAGAAAAAATAAAATTTGCATGTGTAAAGAATTTGAGTATTAAATTTCAAAACATTAAATTATGACACTATTGTGAATTTGCTTGATATGGCCTACATTGCACACAACGAAATCTCTTTGTAGCACTGAATGTGTTTTAATTATTTATTCTGTTCAGTAGTCATATTAACAACAAAACCAGTTATCAATAGTTATCACCTTCAGCTGTCTGCTTTCAAAATTCTCTGTGGCAAAAACAATCCGAAAAAGCATGTGAACATATCGGGTAATCATAATACATACGATAATTCAATAAATCCAGGGCAAAGAGACTCCTACAAAAAGTGCAAGGAGGAAAAAGACTATGTGTTACAGAAGAATATCCGGCATATAAATCTCGGTCAATGCTAGGAGGTAAGGTCACGTTCTTTAATTAAAACAAGGTATAAAACATTGGAACCAACAGGTAAAATAACGAGCAAATGTGTCGAGGTTGGTAGAACTGAAAGAAATAGTTCTTATTTAGATCTTTAACGCGACCTGGATTTTCAGTAACCTGCATCTCTTGAAACACCATTTTATGAATTTATCTGTCAGTTGACAACATCTTGCTTGATGAACCTTTCCAGATTTGGAAAATTCATAACAGGCAAATTTTAATAATAGCAGAGATTATATTGATAGGAATCGGTATACAGACAAGATATCACGTTCAATTAACTCGTGATCGGTGAGGGGTATCATTCTTATATTATCAGACGCCGAGACGAGGTTGTCCTTGACCGTCTTTGGATGAGAAACACATTCACACATTCGTATATACTGAAGAGTGAAGACCAAACATAGTGCATAGCATGAACCAGTCTAAATCTTCTTTTTGAAACTAAACAAATATAAAAAAACCCCGAAATTATCGGAAAGCTTTCAGACTGTATAACAAAACGTGACTTACAATAGCAATATCGCATGTCTGAGTGTTTTGACGGATCTTTCAATACTTTCCGTTTGTTTGATGTAGTTTCATTTTGTTAATTTTGTCCACCATTTCTTGGCTATAATGACAATTTCTATTCTTGTAGACCGTTAAGAATATAATATAAACAACTGAAATAGGATAATGTCATTTTATACCAAACAAACTTTTCAGCGGTCACCAGAACTGTTTAAATGTATACTTACAAACGAAGCTTAATTTTCTACATGTTGAGATAAATTTTAAACTCAATAGGTACATAGTTGATGTGTCGATCCTCAGTTTTCATTAATTACATGTAATACAACTCTAATTGATGGTACCTACTTCCGTTCAGGTCAAGTAAACATTGTAGCTTCTAAAACAATAAAAACTGTCACGGCTTATCAGCCTGGCGCTACAATGTTATCGTACGTGCGAGGGTCAGATCCCGTGCTGGCAGGGGATCCTGGTGCAATCCGACACTACCCGACCCTTTCCCCAACATCACGAAGCCTCGATACGTTTCCGAAAACCAAACATACGCGTTCGTTGTCGACAGATACACCCAACGCCTACATTAAAAGCAATGCCTGAAATGTTGAATTGTTTGATAATATCATTCCTAAGAGAGTTTATATGTAATGATATGAGAATTCAAGGCTTCATGCTCCAAATTTTGTTAACAGAATCGCAACAAATGCAATAAGCTGGTTCACTGGCTTGCAAAAAAACTCTGCAGCCAGTCTCCAGAATCTAGTCAAAAACTCATGAATAGGTTCAATTATTAAATCAGGTGAGTGAAAGCTATCAGAAGTATGTAGATAGATAACTAAATAACATAAACGATCTGGCAAGCAGTCCACCATGCAGTCGGTTGATTAGGTTCAAAGATATTACAACAACCCATCTTGGTATATGACAAGGAAGATATTATAACCGATAAAATTCCACGAACGTTCTAAAAATATAAATGAAACCAAATGTAAAAAATAATATAACTAAAGGAAGGGAACATTATGTGACAGGACATGTTTAATATCGTCCAAGCATATGTCCATTATTGTTTTGTTTGTCCTTCGTGACTGTAGGTATAATATTACCGTGACTGTTCTGTTTAGGTTCAGTAAACTAACGAAAACTTGAATCATATAAAATTATTATTATTATTATTAGAAAGACCTGTCTCACTTGCATCACATAATCCACAATAACATGCGCGATATAAATCAGAATCATGGACACTGATAATACGAAAAGGACTTCCCATATGTCCACCAGCTGTTAGCCGACAACATTGGACATATGCCAACGTTATAAGATTCCTTTCAGTGTTCATATCTTGTTTTAACAATTTTCCTAATTATGTCATTTAAAATACTTCCTCTAATAATCCCTGTTATAATTAACCCATTATGAAAGTTACCCAAAAATATTAACGCAATTAAAATATTACAAATGCAAATACATCATTGTTTTTGTTTGTCTAACATATTTAACATGAGAAAATGAGAGATGAGACTGGAGAGTTTCCAAACAAACTTAAAATTACAGAAATTGGATATGTATATGTCCTAACAACTTAAATATAATAGTGACAGCATAATTTATTTGTTCGTTCCCTGTCCTGGTGCATTTCACTTATCTGTTTGTGTTAAGTTTACATAGTAAGTACTGTAGACTATCCTGACATGGGGTCTATGTCTGACACGTGACAAATGCCAGAGACAGTCAACAACTTTATTACACACCCAACGATCCAGGGAAAAAATAGAATATAGCATTCTTCCACAGTTGCGTCTTTATAATTTTAGGCAGTGGGTGTATTAAGTATAATTCCGTTATATCTTTAACCGCATTTAACACGATAAGAGGCCAGCATATCGTTCAAAATCTTGTTTTTCGCATTACGCAGGACATTACACTGGGCAGT